CTTTTCTTTTACTCCTTTTTCTTTTCTATTTTACCTAACCTTCCCCATTATTTATTGCTAACAAGTCCCTATCCCCTTTTCTAGAAGCTTCCCAAGTAATTTAGCAAATTATTTACCAAGTTCGGATCCTAAGCTAAACCTTTAATCAACCCTCATTCTGAAAACAGACTTCAAACGGATTTTGCACTCACATAAACTCAAACAAGACCAGTCAAGAATGCAATTCATACTAAGTAAAACATGTAATTAGATACTAATCTAAAACGTGCAAACTAAATTTTATCAGCTACACTAAAAACAAAAAATGATTACGAACACTGTTATATAGGCAAACTAATGAACTAATTGTGCAATTTGAACAAATTAAGAGAAAAGATGAGAGGCGTATACCTAAAGAGATGAGGCGATAGAGAAAATTCCAGCAGGAGTCGGCCGGTTGACCAAAATCTGGTGGCTTCAAAATGAGCCAAAACTAACATCAATCGATTGTTCTTGTTAAGAAAGGGGAAAAACTAGGGTTTCCGGCAATCTTAGATCTATAAATCGAGAAAATCTAGGGAGTTTTAAAAGAAACCAATGAGAGATATGAGATGAGGAGGAGATGGAGATTGTCCGGTGCAAAGTCGGGTAGATTTGGTGTTGTGCTGCCATCGTGTAGCGATTTTCGGCGGCGGAGACGGTGGGATTTAGAGAGAGGGGACAGAGAGGTTAAGGGAGGTGATCTGAGAGAAGTGTTTGAGGAGAGGGTAGGGGCCAGTCCGACAATTTTAAGGGAAGTGATGGATCCGTTTCGGGCCGTTAAATCAATAGAGATGAAGGGTCCTGATTAAACGTGACTTAAATGGCGTCGTTTGGTGTGAATTTGGTATGTACCAGGTGACGAAGTGGATTATTTTTTATGGTTTTCTATGATTTAAAATGTAATAATGGAGGTAATCTAAAATGCAATCAAATAAAAGAAATAAAAAACCTAAAATTCTGCAAAATGATTAAAAACTATTTTAAATATTTTTAGGAGTGATTTCGTGTAGGGCAAAAATTATGTGCTCACAATCCCTCCAAGGATAATACTGCAAAAAAGAAGAAGTAAGGTCAAACTCTTGTGGCAGCATATGACCTGAAAAATACATGTGATATTGTTTCAACTTCAGGATGTTGGTACGTCATAAAAACATATATAGTCAGGACCAGAATCTATACTGTGAAAAGAAGGGAGTTCATATAACTCTATCAGAATATTAAAATCTTCAACACATGAGTCTCTAAACCCAGTTGCAAGGGTGTAAAACTGATGATTTGTTTAGAGTGGGTAAGGAGAGAAACTTTTTGAATACTCTTTTTTTTGGTGATTTGGACAGAAAATAAAAAAAAATATTTAACTTTGTGTTGGGATGAAAAGGGAAAAATGTGCTCAGAATAATTTGCTCCCTTGGACAGAAGATAAAAAAGATTTAACTTTAAGAGAAAACAGATCATGCTTGCTGAAACAAAATGGAAAAGAGGGAAAAATGCAAGGGAGAAATTGCTTTTTCACATGCCAGTTTAAGCTTAGATGCCAGACTTAATAAATTCTGCAGTTACGTATAATGATAGTCGAAATATATCTTGGTTTCCGTTAAGATCTTCCGACGTCATGTATGATTCTTATTTTCTACTTTTTATTTTTTCATTTTCCTATGTGTAGAACAAAAGACACGCTCCTAAAACTGGCTATCTTGGGTATAGCAACAATTTCACATGTTGCCTTAGGTACCATAGCAGTGTCAATTTGATCATCTGATAACTTAGTAGCCTCCTTCAACACCTTAGAATTCTGCTCTAGGACACCTAAAGCCTCCAGCATTAACTTGAACTGCAAATCATAAACTGACCCTAAGCAAGGGTTTACTATAGTTGTTAGTGCAGGAACTACTGTTCCATTGGTTTCAGGGTTCTTTCCATCATCTATTTGATTATGTGAACCAACTGTATCCTCTAAGACCTCCACATTGAAATTATCAACCTTACATACACCTGAAATCTACACCATATCACCTGTATCTAACCTAAAAACCAGGACAGTTCCCCTAGGATTTACTGTTCCATTGGTTTTATTCTTCCCAAATGCATCACCAACTAATCCACTAGTGATTTTATCTCCATAAACTGATCATTTATCAACTCCAACTGGTTGCATTGCCTGTTGCTTCCCATCTCTTTCAATATCATCAACCCTAGTTTGTAATAAACTAGGGTTTACTGTAGCATTCTGCCCAGAGGTGTCAGCTTGATTTTCCTGCATGTTACCTCTTTGATCCTTGGTACTTGTATTAGAATTAGCTCCTGTAGTATCCTCAATTAGCTCCACTTCATCACCTCATGAAGAACTATTATTTTTTGTAGCTCTAGTGTTTTCAATTGCCTTTGATGAGTCTTGTATCATTTGTGATGATACTTCTTGACAAGATTGATTCATGATAACATTTAAAACCTCTTTAAGATTCCCAATCCTCTTATGAACGCAATCAACCATCCTTTCCTTACTAGCCTCCACGCCAATCCCTCTAGAAGTAGGATTAGGGTTGCAACTCTTTGTCGCTACAGTAACCCCAACTTCCTTAGGACTGGAGCTAGAATTATGAACTTTCTCCAACTGTTTCTTCTCCTTTTCTGGTGTTTGGTTAGCAAGCAGAAAATTATCTCCAAAAAATTTATTTATAATTTAGGCAAACACCGTAAGAAACCGAGTAGGCGTGTCGGGGTTCGAAGGTCTGGAATCGAGGAGTCAGGAGGTTAGGGTGTTGGGAGGCCAGGGCGGCCAACAACCGGGGTCGGGGCGGGGTTGGGGTTCAAGGTCTGGGTCAGGGTAGGGTTGAGGTGGGGGTCAGGTTGAAACCATCCGTTGGAGAGTCTCGAAAAATATTTTTTCTACTCTTGCTAGGAAAGTCATTTCCTCTAACTAGAGGAAACCAAGCTCTTAAAAACATTTAAGTCAACCAAACATGAGAAAATTAAAAAATAATTTTTGAAAATATTTTTTTCCCTAACGAACACACCCTTATTGTAACGGTATGTAGGCTATCACCTTTTTAACATGCTAATTCTAGATGCTAAAAGTTTTTTCTACCCCCAACACCTCCATGCATTTGGAATTTTTGTTTTTTCCCCTTTTTCTTTTCTCTCATTGACGGGGCTTTTGGAGTTAGTCAACCTGCAAAATAATGATTTTCTTTTTTCAGTGAAGCAAGTCACTAGGTGGGCATATTGATGAGGAAATAAATGAGTTTGCTTAACCAAACGTGAATGAATTCATTGCCTTAACAAATCATAACAATTACAATGTATATAATCATATCATTTTACTAATTGACTTTCGGATAATTGAAAAAATCTAATTATCTAGCTTCTAAAATTGGTCTAAGCTTTAATTGTCCAAGAGAAAACTCTTTGTATTTAGTCACATACAAAGTAAAATTTGTAAATTAATTTCCAACAAGTTGATATTAGCATAATTATTCTTACTCTCAGAAGTCACAACCATTCAATGGGTATCCTATTTTGGGGCTGTGGCCAGATGCAAGTTACCAAATTCCATCAATGACAAATATGCTATAATAAGAAAAGAAAAAGGACAATTTTTTTTTCATTCACATAATTAACAGGGTAAACTTAAAACACTTATTCACACTTGGCATATGCACCAAACCGTACTAATATACCGTCAAACTATAGACTTTAGGTGAAAATATATAAGTATTAATTAATCATAGTACGGATAAGTTTTTATCGTAGCTTAATTGCGATGTATAGCGAGTGGTGGATGTAGCCTTACTGCTATGTGAAGGGGCGGAGGGAGAGTAGAACCTACGGGTTCGACCGAATCCAGTAACTTTAGTCCAAACTATGTATTTGTCTTAAGAAATTCATTGAATACGTACAAATTATTAATTTAAAATACAGTAACTTAAAAAATTTAGAATCCGGAATCCATAAGTTTCAAATATTGGCTCCGCCTTTAGCTATGTGTTCAACCGAACCCATAAATTTTTAAAATTCTACTTCAGTGCTAGTAACTTTACAAATTGAAACCATTCGGTGCTGATAATGGTCAAAATGACTATCCCTTGAATTACAAAATTTTATTCTTGATGTGCTAACATAGGGCATTTGTAAGCTAATTTTATTTAAAGACCAAGGAATATTGAGAAATTGTTGGTAAGAGACGTTAGTTATAACATCACAGTGCTGAGTAGCTAAACGTCCATTGTTGAATACGTGTACGAGCATTTCCCTATATTTTTTCCAGGGAGTTTAGGTAGTTTTGTTACAAGTCATTGTATCCAAACCATTAAAACATAACAATAGGAAACGAGGATCACTATTATATTACTAGGAATCTGAGCGGAAACTTGGACAAGGATTTGATTATTTAATTAACTAAAGAGTGTAAGTATAAAATTCAAGTTCTTCATATTGCCAAAAACACGCGTTTTACTCATTTCGGATTAGGATAACAGTAGTTTTTGTACCTCAAATATTGATAAATTCTGATTTTGGCCCTTGTAGTATATGATTCAACAAATTTAACTTCTATCTAATTAAAATGTGTGCCTTTTGGTGCTTTTACGTAGGAAACATGTTATATTTAGGCTATTTTTAGAAGTATAAATATAGAGTAACAATACAAGCTTAACGTAAGACACAAATAATTAAATGGTAATTTGCAAATGTTCACAAGCAAAAGGATCAAATGTGCACATTTCAAGTAATTAAAAATTAAATATATTTAGTCAGATATCACAAAGACAAAAATTAAAATTTTACCAATACAAATATTTCCACATTTTGAGCTCTAATTTAATCGTAAAATTATCCTTAAGGTCTAAACAGCAAGGCAAAGGACTCAAATTACGACATAAGTGAGCCTACTAATTGACAAAATAGTGAGTGTAAAAATTCTAAGGCTTTAAAGACACGTGCTAGTCATGTATGTATGTATATATAAGAGGAAATAGGGAGAAGCTAAGGGAGCGAGAGGAAACAAAAGCATGGAAGCTAAAACGCCGCAGTACAAAACCTCAAGAAGATGGTTTCTTCAACAATGGACAGCAATAGCTTTTACATTTGCCTTAGTTCCACTCACTCAATCATTGAATTACGCAGAAGCTCTCTCCAAAAGTCTACTTTATTTCGAAGCTCAACGCTCCGGCCGTTTGCCTTACAATCAAAGAGCTATTTGGCGTCACCATTCCGGCCTTACTGATGGCCTTGATCAAGGGGTCTGTACTGTAATTCTACGCATTCATTCACATTCTTATTTATCTTTTTTGTTTGTTAGTTTTTATATTTTACTGCGCCTGTAATTAACAGGTGGATTTGGTGGGAGGTTATTATGACGCCGGCGATAATGTTAAGTTTCAACTTCCGATGGCTTTCACTATAACGATGCTTTCGTGGAGCGTCATTGAATACGGCGGAGATATAGCAGCTGCAGGCGAGTATAAGTACGCGCTTGAGGCTATCAAATGGGGAACTGATTACTTCATCAAAGCGCACACTCATCCTCATGTTCTTTGGGTTCAGGTTTGTAACTAACTTTTCTGTTTCGTTATAGATTTCATGAACATGTGAAAAGTCCCTTTAATCGCGCCCAAATAACTGTTAAGCTGAGTTGAACTATCGATTTCCAACTGAGTCACTTTCGCACACTTTGATTTCTTAGTGGGTCCATTTGTTATTGTCCTTATGGACGTAAATCAAGCAGAAGTGACTAATTTCTTTGAATTCCAATATTGGGGTCATCTGCAAGCAGTGACATATCCATAGTTATAGAATTCACAATTTCGATTCGACTTGAACTTATATATATGTGAAAAAAATAATTACTAATGTATTTATCCAATGCAATACTAGCTCTTAAAATATATACTAGTTGAGAACTTACATTTTCAAATTGAAAATTAAACAGTATTTAAATTTTGAATCCGTCACTATGTGCAGGTTGGTGAAGGAGAAACAGATCATTATTGTTGGCAAAGACCGGAGGACATGACCACATCTCGTCGAGCTTACAAAATCGACGAGAAATATCCCGGATCAGATGTCGCCGGAGAGACAGCAGCCGCCTTGGCGGCTGCGTCAATCGTGTTTAGGAGAACAAATCCACAGTACTCTCACCTTCTCCTGATCCATGCAGAACAGGTAACTAACTTATTTTCTAGTAATAACTTTGTTTGAATACGTTAAAAATCAATCGCTGAATACTAGTGTATACAAGTGGCATACATTTTAAAATTGATACTCCAAAGTCCAAATATTGATTGTTTACTACAGTTTACTTATAAAATTCTTTTCCAAAATTGTAGTTGTTTGAGTTTGGTGACAAGTTTAGAGGGAAGTATGATGCGAGTGTAGGAGCAGCAAAAGGTTACTATCCATCGTTGAGTGGTTACAAGGATGAGTTGTTATGGGCAGCTTTGTGGTTATACAAAGCCACCGACAATTCCCATTATTTAAATTATGCTTTACAAAATGCTCAATCTTTTGGCGGGATCACTTGGGCCATCTCCGAATTCAGTTGGGACGTCAAATACGCTGGTCTTCAACTACTTGCCTCTACGGTAATTGTAATTCTATACACTAGCTCAAGTTTTCAATAAAATAAGGTCACCATGTTTACAATTTAATAAATGTTAGTCTTTGTTAATAAAGTGAATGCATAGATTATTTTGAAGTGTTACCCAAAAATAGTTTCATATATCGTTGATTAATTAGGTAGATCTACGCTTTAGTTGATTTTATTATTGAGAATACATATGCATGCATGAGTGGTACAAGATGATTTGTATTACTCTACATTTTCATTTGAATTATTTTACACATGTACTTTTTGCATTTACATTAATACTTGGGACATTGCATATATATTATAATAAAATTAGGTAAGTTTTGACACCTATTGAGTTGTAGATGTATGATCATGTGAAAAGAGATAAGTTCATAGAGACAAGGAGGATCCTTGTCCTGGAGAATAAAAACACCATATGTTTAGGCACAACTTATGTTAAATCATGTTATTAATGGAGGGTCCAAAATCAAGCATAAAAGTAATGTGTTTCCTTTTCCACTATGACCCTGATCTGGCATTTTTCTCAATGGGCCGCGATAGTAATCAGCGTGCTATGATTAAGAAGTCACATATTCGGAAAGGGATTTAAGTTATATATGCACTAAAATTGTAGCTTTTTTTATATCATCCATGTAATTTGATAGTGTAATAAGTGCATATAACTTAAATTTGAAGGAACTTAAAATGTCATATAGCAATAGAATTGAGTAAGTTTAGACACATGTTGAGATGTAAATGTAGGCTCAGAAAATAGTGAATTATGTTAGACGAAATTAATTTCATAGAGACAAGAAGGGACCCTTGTCCTTGAGAATACAAACACCATATATATGTTAACCAGTTAAGGCAAAATCTACTTCAAAGCAAGTTGTTTGTGATGAAATCAATGTATAGTTAGATCCAAATCAAGCACAGAAGCAATCAAGAAATTTCCCTTTCAACTATAATCACTAATTTGGTTTTTCTTCAATTCAATGAGCCACCGTCTCTTTGGATCTCATTGCTCATGGTTAAGAAGTCATTGAACTTGAGCTCATGTTAATATCTCATGTATGACATGATTTGGCCATTGTTTTGTCGCGTTAGGCAATTTTTCTACTTTTATTAACATTAATTTATCATCAAATTAAAGTTTACAGTCTAGTGAAGTCAGTAAAAATCTCTCACACAATAAACGTGAGTTCAATTCTCGTTGTCCCTCTTCTCTCTCCCCTTACTATTCTCTTAGTGTAATGGATTTTGTTTTTAAGAAAATGGCAACAATTTGACCGCTAACACAAATGACTTATGTTTTTTTCCTTTATTGCAGCTGCCAATTAGGCAAGGGAAGGGAGAGGAAGAAGAACTTAGCAAAATTCTCCAAGACTACCGTTCGAAAGGAGAACACTACATTTGCGCTTGTCTGAACCAAAACAATAAAACTAATGTGCGTCGCACCCCAGGAGGCCTCCTCTATATCCGCCAATGGAACAACATGCAGTACGTCGCCAATGCAGCATTTCTCCTCATGGTCTATTCAGATCATCTCAGGGCAACCAATCAGATGGCCAGATGCGAACGCCGTTTTGTGGGACCCGAGGAAATCTTCGCCTTCGCTAAATCACAGGTTCCATTTGCACCTTTTACTGTGATACAAATCGAATTGTGATAGATACTGTTCATTAGTTGATCAATTCTAACTCATCAAAAATAACAGGTGGACTATATCTTGGGTTTGAACCCAATGGGTATGAGTTACTTGGTTGGCTATGGAGCCAAGTATCCCCGAAGGGTGCACCATAGGGGTGCATCGTTGGACTCTTACAAAAAGAAGAAGAGCTTCATTAGTTGTACCCAAGGCTATGATAACTGGTTCGGACGCAAGAATCCAAATCCCAATACATTAATTGGGGCATTAGTTGGTGGGCCAGATAATAAGGATCGGTTCAATGATCATAGAAGAAATTACATGCAGACAGAGGCTTGTACTTATAACACAGCACCTATTGTTGGGATATTTGCAAAATTGCATGCGCTGGAAAGAGATACCGACATCGAAGATTCACAATTATTTTCTGCTAATAAATAGTTTCACTATTGATGATAATTCCACGTAAAGCCAATGTTTTGATTTGATTGAAGAAAGAAATACAACAAAGGAAAGTCAAAAGTATATATATATATATATAGTAGCTCCATTTGTTAAAACAGTGTATTCTTCTTATGCTGTTCCACGATCATCTTCTATGAATAATAAGATTCACATTTCTTCTTCCAATATTGCTCTTGCGCTTGAATGTCTTCTATGAATAAGATTTACATAGTACATACTAGTTATATATACGTCTATGAGGAAAAAAAAAACAGCCTGCGCGCTAAAAGGGTGTATTTTGCGGAACGTTATCAATACAATTTAAAGGTAAAAGATTTAAGAGGAGAATGTGAGACTAAAATAGCAAGGGTGGAGCTAGAAGGGTAATCACGGGCTCAACAAGTATCCAATAGCTTTAATCCAAAACTCTATATTTATAATAAAATTATTAAATATATACAAAAATTAAATTCAACACCAAGTTACTAATACCTAATGTAGAGTTTAGAACCCACTAAGCACGGGCGGCTCAACCCCAAGGCAGTTAAACATAGGACCACAATTGCTTACGTAAATAACAGATGAATGGGATGCACTTAAATGACTTTCTACTTCATTCCTTTTGTTCTCTTCAACTTGAATTAATTTTCACTTTACAATTACTTACGTACATACTTTGAGCTAATTAGCTCCATATTGATTTTTGGACTTATTTTGCAACAAAGGTACTACGAAAAACGGTACAAGTATAATACTCTAATTGATATACTCAATGAAATAAAAAGATTTGATTCTTATTTCACATGCCTATATAATATCATAGAAAAATAAAGACATTTTCTCCAACGGAAGGATATTTTTCGGAAGTGAAATTAATAAAAGTTTACCTAAAATCAACAATATCTTAAGAATAATTAAATAAATTGGCTACATTATCAATTAGGAAAAAAATATTAGAAGATCAGTTCAGCTATAAAATATAATTATCGTTTTTGATGCTAAGTTCAAATACTAGGCCCCCCTCTTTAAAATAGAGGTAGAGGAGCTGTTGCAATTAAAGTGTTCTGAATTTCCTTAACGGTTGGTGCTATTGGCGGTGAAGAATGTAAATAAGGAAACACGATCAGTAAGATTTATATGCATTTTGTGATCTTCCGCTTCAGTCTGAGTTTTTTCGGATAGCCGGGACCCTTGAAGAGACTTTGAGTCTCCTAAATCTTTCATATCAATCTGGGTTCTTAAGCTTCTCTTAAGCTCTCTTGCTTATAGATATGAGATCAATGACTTAAATAAAAGAAAAATATCGAGAGAAAATCTTAGCCCTTAAAATGATATACTTAATCAGATTGATGCGTAATTATTATTGTTTTTGGATCTACAGGCCTTAGTCTTACCTCTGATTATGAGAATTTGTCTGATAGTAGGGAATGTCTTTTATCACTTGTCCAGAAAAATAAACGAAAACTTAGTACTAATTGAGTACTCGTTATTTTTGGAAAATACGGAATAGCGACACCACAACCAATATCTTGAAGTTTATTAAGACGGTGAAGGTTTAACTCCTCGTAGGGACTCGTATTATGTGATCGCACTGTGAAGGATCATATCAGTGCCAAGTTGTCGAAATTCCAAGTTCAACGTACAGCTAGTTATGTTATTCATTAATATTTCATTTCTTGTATTTTCATAGTCGAATTTTAATGAGGTAAAGATATCTTTTATAGTACCTAACAGTTTGACTTACTTCAAAGACTGTGAAAACATACGTATAAATCATATGAATTTATGAACTGAATTCACTAGATTGTAATAATTTGAGATAAAGTTGGAAATTAAGGAACTTCTTTTGCAAATTTCTATGTACTATATCATTAACTTTTGTAGCAAAAAATATAAGGTGCTTCTAATAAATTATTCAGACAGTTTAGCGATATAAAAGTTAAATGAGTAAGGTCATCATAAAACTTATTGGTATAATTTGTAGTGGCAAGAAATAAAAGAGATCAGTTGACAAGATATTATCATTTCTATTAAAATTATAAGGTCATCAAATAATTTACAGATAAATTCCTAGTATATAAATTCATCACTACTATATACGGTGTTTTAAGGGAAAATCAATATTTTTAATATAGCGAATATATTTAACACTAATAGAACACCTTTCATGTTATAATTTGTCACCGAACAGAAGATGGGATGTAGCTAACTAACTATCAGATATTATATGTTGCATACTTTATAGTTAGCTGCAAATTTATACTAGTAAATTGTGTATTCATCGTGTAGTGTGACTATGACATGATCGATCATTGAATAGTTAACTTATGACCCCTTGTTACTTCCATAACTTCTTGTGTTGGCTTCCCTAAAAAATAATATGCTTTGTATATTTGAAATAGTACATGTAATTAATTTTGACTAACGGACACCTGTAATTAATTTTGACCGACCAACAAAAATAAAAGATAGCCCTTTTAAATAAGAGGTGAACATTCACGTTTGACTGTTTGAGTAACACTTCCACTATTTTATTTGTTTAACCAAAAAGTGTAACTTTCGGCTAAAGCTATTATTTTTTGTGTAATAACGGGTTAAACCTAGTTAATGATAATATCTCTAGATGCGAATCTTGAAAACATGTATGAGGTGGGACAGATCCAGGAAGGGGTTGACAATAATAAGTATTAAATAGTCATAAAGTGTAAGCAATAATGAGAGAATGGCTAATAATGAATAACAATAAATGGCATTTTAGTAAATAGGAGGAGTGATTCACTCAATAAATGATGAGTTAGGTGATTATTTCTCCTGACAATGATGAGTGATAGACAGATCTTAGAACATTCGAAATATTCTCGGATCTGATGGAAAAGTGTAGGATAATATGAACAAGAATCTTGATAAAAATGTGTTCTTTGTATCTTTTCAAGGGGAAGAGAATCTTTTAGCAAGGTCCGCTCTTATCACAATGAATATCACATGCCTCTATTCATTATCTTTTTTTCCTATTTATATGGGATATACCCTCAATAAACTCTAGTAGTACAAATACAAAGAATATCTAACAGAATATTCTTTTTAATATTCTACCCTAATAAACTAGCCGTTACAGCTCTTTTTATGGCACTCGACACCGACCATCTTCTGCATCTCGACCACGGGCTTCGCCATCTTCTGGTCGATCTCGGCAGAATCTTTTTTCGATATTGCTTGGTCCCAAGTATTGAGACAGATATCGACCCATACAGTCAGTCCCTCCGCTTATTAAGGCCGGCCTCAGGCGACCTTAATGAGTGGATTCTGTTTACTGCGGTTGACAAAATTTGGACGAGAGAGTCAAGCAGTGGCGTTTCAGAAGAGATGACATCATGACCTTTCGTGAACCACAACTTTCAGGGTTGTGTCGTTTCCGCACCAGAATAACGTCATAACATCGTGCGTCATTATGGTGCATTTTCCCCATGCTCTGCGTCATTTCCCTGTGCGACTGTCAGTTGGGGGCTTCCATTTCGATTCTATTGCCAGGTAATGATGGCATAGTCTCTTGGTTTTGATGCCTGAATTCTTATAAAGAGAGGTGTAACTGTATTTATTTGTCCCCTACGCATTTTTCTCATAAAAACCTTGTGCCTTCTTCTTCTTCTTCTTCTATTGCCGCATATCTTCTTTACTGGTCCTAGTGATTCTCATTGCCTCTAATACTTCCTTTCCTGAATATCCTCTTTCAAAAATATGGCTAATGTATCCTTTAGTTCTGGTGCGAGAGTTGACCATGTCCCTTTGGTGGTGCTTATGCCCCCTCGTGCTGATGGCGTCTCTGTCGCCGTTGAAGATGAGAATTTTCCTACGGTGGAGGAAATAATTTCTCATAGTGAGAAAGTTAGGTCCAACTTTTTGAAGGCGCCTGAAGGCGAGCCCGAGGTCTCGGAATCGGCGATGAAAGAGGTCGATCTAGCTAAACTTAGGGCAAAATTCAATATTCCTGCCCACATCGATCTGGTCCCCGCAGGCGTGATACGGTACAAATCTGTCGCCCCAGTTATTGCGCGTTTTATGCATATCCTTTCCATGTTGGCTATACTCTTCCCCTTCTCCCGTTGGCGGAGGAATTTTTCCGCTACTATGGTGTTTGTCCGGCCCAACTCTCTCCATACATCTACAAGCTTATTAGGATGCTCACAAAATTTGCGGAGTTGGCCGGGGTCGAGGTCACACTCTGCCATCTGATGGATCTCTTCGCCCCCAGTTTTTACATGGGGACGATGTTATATCTTCGCCACCGAGGAGGTAAATGCCTAGTGGTGAAGATGGATGACAAGGCAAATCGTCAGTTATGGCACAACTACTTTTTTGTCAGAACCGAAGACGTGGTGACCAACACGAACGGCTTCCCTGAGACTTGGAATTACGCTCGTAAGTATTTATTCTTTGCCGAAAGCATTTGATTTGTCTTAGTCACTGGCTCTGAAATTTTGTCTCTTCTTCCTATAGCCAAGACTACGCCTCCTCCTTTGGTCGGGGACATTTCAAACTGAGTTGGCCGGAATCTGCCTCACATTGTGGGGATTCGTGAATGGCCGGGTTTTCTCAAGAAGTTCGGGCTAGCTTCTTCCTTGGCCGGTGAGTTCATCTGTATAAATTTTTGTTGTCTTGACCTCATGGTCGCTAGCTCATGGCGGTTTGTTCTTAGTGGTGATAACCATCAATATTTCCTTTTCCATTCGAGGATCTTCGAGGAGGCCGAGGGCTCCTCCTCCTGCATTTCGTAAGAATAAGGCTGCCTCTTCTTCGGCGTTTATTCCTATTGTGACCGCGGATAGGCTTGCTCGATCGTCGGCCCCACATACTGCTGCCTCGACATCAGTTTCTTCTCCGCCTGCAGACATATCAATAGCAAAGCTTCCGACTTCCCCTTTGCTTCGTCTAGTGGATGAGGAGGAGTTAACGCCGAGCGGCGGGGATTTGGTTCCCCGTAAGAGAAGATCTGTGGACGTCGGTGATGGGGTCGCCCAGACTGTGGATTCAGTAAGGGACGATTTTGTCATCCGTGAGACAGCGACAATAGTGCTTGAAGATGACATCGAGTTGTCGTCTGAGATTCCACCATCGGCTAAGGTCGCAGAGGGTGTGTCCCTTCCCGATGCCTTGATGGAAGCCGAAGGGCCGTCTGCG